AGATTCACCTGCACTGCTCAAACAGTGCTATGTGTTTGGCTGTGCTCACACGACTGCCTTCGGGGGAAACTCACAACAGAATCTTTTAATCATGAAACTGCTCTGGGAGAGTCCTCACTGGTGACATTTTGCATTCCTGTTTTGTTATGTCTCAGCCCCATATTTGTATTTGGGAAAGTGCTATGAAAATGGACTTGGATGTAACTTTTCCATGTGGAAAAGCCAATTGCAGCCCAGAGTGAGCATTCCCTTCAAAATGCACTCTGTGATTGCTAATGGTCATGCAGCTTGTACCTCAAGGCTTGCCCTAGAGCTGAAACTGGATTCCAACAGCTTTGCTAGCACCGTATCATCCCTCACCTTTCGTAGCAATGAGCAGCAGTGAGCACCCAGTCTTGGTTGAGCAGCGTCGCCGCACAGACGAAGAATTCGCTGGTAATGATTGCAGCAAGCCAAGGATGCTCATCTTCGATGCATTCCTGCCCTCCAATGACCCGAGTGGGGTTTGCCAAAACTACAATTCAGACCAGGAAGGCTCAGTGTCCAGCTGCAGTGAGCACCAATGTTCCTCAGCTGCATATGGAACACCCCCAAAATCACCCCAACAAAGCACACAATGACCTTTCTCACTCCCCAGGAAGACAAGCTGGGAGATACATCACAGGAGGGTTTCCTGTGCGATCGTTTGGAGCTGAAGAACGCAGATAAATGTAAGACCTGGTTGTGAAGGACAGACTATTTTGGGAGGCATTTGTTCAAAGCGTCGCTATATGTTGGAGATGACTTGATGGCATTTACCAACACTATTATGCATTCCGTGCTTTTTAAGCCTCTGCCAATATTACAGTGGCCATGAAAACAGTTCAGCCTCCTAAGGAACAGGTGGGCTGGGGAACCCTAGGAGTTATTACTACTGCAATAATAAGAATAGCACTCATATGCCTAAACGTGCATAAGTGCGAGAGCCCATGACCTCTCCAGGCAACTGGTTCCACTGTCGTATTGCTCTGACGGGGAGCAATTTTCCCCTGCTATCTGGCCTGAACCTGGGTTGTCAAACCTTGACTTGATTATTCTGTGTTCTGCACACTGGCACCAGAGAGAAGAGATCTTGAGCTTCCTCTTTGTGGCAGCCTTTGAGGTACTGATGGAGGGTTATTATGATTCCCCCCCCCTCCCCCACAGTCTTCCCTTCTCAAGCCTGAACAGGCCCAGTCCCCTCAGTGTAGAATACAGGCAGGACTTTGACCTGCTGGGTTGCAAGTTGAAGAGGTATTGGTGTGTGGATATGGCCATGCTGATGGGCTGTTCATCTGCTTGTGGGGTATTCAAAACATTTAGCACCTTGACAGAATGGGCAGGTAAAGTCAGGATAGGTTGTCATCAGAGCATTCGCTATCTGGATGGCTTCCTATGTGATGGGGCTGTGAACATCTCGGGGGACCAGTTTCCCCTTCAGCCCTTTCAGATCCTGGCCTGGAAGTGAGAGGTGTTACTGGCCCAAGAAGAAGCACCAGGAAAAGTCCCCATATTGACCTAACTAGGCAAGGTGCTCGAGTCAACCACCAGGATTCCCCACCTCACACCGGATGAGCTGGCCCCCCTGCTGCACACAACCGAGCTCTGACAAGAATGCCCTTTGAGGAAAACACAAGCCCCCTTGGGCCCCCTGCATTTCACACATACAGCAAATTCACCAGGCAGAGCCTTTTGCACTCAAGACCCACAGCCAGACCTTAGCATAACAGGTTTGATGGCTTGGCCAGGCTTCCTACATGAGTCCAGTGGCCCCTAATTCTGGCAGGATGAGCTCTAGCCGAAGCATGGCTACCAGTTCAATCAGGGGCCTCAGGGAGCTCGGGGGCTCCTAGCAAGGCCAACGGGGCACAAAAAGACAGCTGTCAGCCTGAGACTAAGTGGGCATCATATGGGACCTCAGTTTCCTGGATTTTTTCCCCATCCTGGTGGGAATGGCTATCTGGTGATAAAGGTTTCAGGGCAAGCACATGATCGTTGGTGCAACAATCGAGCTGTTGTCAGAGTCATTAATAAGCAGGTGTGGCACTCAGACAAGGCCCTGCCAGGAGATTTGTGCTGGCATGCCAGTCAGCCAATATCCGGTTCGCAGCACAGCACGTTCTGGTCATAGATCACAGGTGCCCTGTCTCGGTTCCAAAGAAATGTTTCCTGCCCTTGACACCAGAGGTGAGACCCAGTCTATACATGTTCCAAAGGAACTGCTGGCACTGAGGAGGGAGTCAAAATGCAAGGCGGTCGGACCCTGTTTAAAAAGCCGCACAGCACTCAGAGACGCCACGCTGCGTCTCACATCCACGCCACGCTCATGCCGCTGGCCCTGGCATACCTGCAGGCCACTCCTGAAGCAAGCGCCCTGGCATACCTGCAGGCCACTCCTCCCGCAAACCCATATCCATCCGTCGCGTGGCTGCATCCTCCAGTGAGGCGTATGGGCAATCTGCAGGCACTGGGGGGCTGGCACTGGGGGAGACCAGCAACACCGGATGGCACCATGCTAGGACTGTGTGTCTTTTTGGCCCAGCTGCACCATGCGAGTGGCAAGGTATTTGGACAGCTTTCACCTTGCCTTTCAGGGGCACATCAAGTGAATGCACTGGCGGCCCACATCCCGACAGCACACCTTAGGTGCTAGATGTTTATTTAACTTATTCATTATGTTTACGTCCCACTTTTTTTTTTTTTTTTTTTGATTAAAGGAGCTCAAGGCAGCCCACATCATTCTTCTCCTGCGGCTCTCAATCTTACGCTCATAACATCAACAACCCAGTCCTACCAAGGTTTGGAAAACCTGCCCTATGAGGAGAGACTGGGGGAACTGGGCATGTTCAGCCTTGAGAAGAGAAGACTTGGGCGGGGGGGTATCCCTCTGTAAGACCCTCAAAGTCTGTCACAAAGAGGAAGGTCAAGATCTCTTCTTGATGATGCCAGAGTGCAGGACACAGAATAATCAAGCCCAGTTGTGCCAACCCAGGTTCTGGCCAGATATCAGGAAGTTTCCTCACTGTCAGAACAATGCAGCAGTGGAACCAGCTGCCTAGAGAGGTGGTGGGCTCTCCCACACAAGCGACAATCAAAAGGAAACTGTTCTATGATTCTATGAACCCTGTGAGGAAGGTTGGGCTGAGAGTCAGTGACTGCCCCAAAGTCACCCAGTGAGTTCCATGGCTGGGTGGGGACTAGAACTCAGATCTCCTGAGTCCCAGTCCTACGATCTTCACCACCACATAGTATCTCACAACTCTTTGATCCTAACCCTTAGGATCAGGCATTCAAAGACCAATCAAAAGGGAAAAGGGTGTCTGACTTGCCTCATGGAATCCCCAGACCCTTTAAGACCAGATCCAGTCTTTTTATCCTTGGAACTAACTCCACTCACCAAATAGCAACTTGCTGAGCATACTTAGGCCTGGAATCAGCTCTCTGGGAGCCCCATACCAGTTTAGTTCGCATTCAGGACGGGGGCAGCCAAATGGGGGAGGCTGGGTGGAAAAGGGACAGGAAATGAATGCCTGCAAATAAGTTGCCGGCACAGATTTGGGTAAGGGCTTCACGCCCTTGCTTTTCTGTTTCACACATGCAGAGCACAAATCTACAGGACCTGGATTTGCAGGCTGTACAACATGCCCTGGGCATCCCTTTCAGCTGGGGAGAGTGATCCAGGCGTCCTGGCATGCACCCCTCCGGTATGGGCAAAGGACTGGGTGAGGTGACATCAGATGGGGCCTCCAAACCGACAGTGGGGGAATACTTGGCAGTGAAGTGGTGGAAACAGGCACACAGCCCTGCCTCAGGAGGTGCATGTGAGAGGCACTGGGCAAGACCAGTGTGGGAGGGGAGGGGAACTAAGAGCCCTTCTTGTCATGGTGGGAGTCCCTCCAGGAACCTAGCTGGATCTGGCACCAAGACCAGGCAGCAGGGAAGCTGTGAGCTTGCTGCGTCCATGGCGGAGGGCAAGCCTTTCTCAAAATACGCATTAGCAGTCTGTATTGTGGTGGAACCATGGCCCATCACCCACCACCAAGACTCCTGTCAGGGGAACAAAACTGGGTAACAGAACAGGATCCACACCCTGTACCTCCACCAATCCTATCCACAATGAATACAATTGCAGACATTTTAGCGACCCATTTAAGTAGCATCTCTGCCTTTTTTTCCTTCACTGATCAGGCACAGTTAGGTGCTGTGCCACATAACACTTTCGTGTTTAGTGTAATACCAGATGACCCCCAAGAATATGCAAGCGCTTGTGATCTCCAGAGATTGCAAGCTTCAGGTGTGAATGGAGAGAGGAGCAAAACAGGCACCCCCTGAGTGGATGTGAAAGGCAAATCTGCATGGCAGAAGAAGCATGTGTGCACATTGATGGCGATCCCTTGGTTCGCCTCACAAACACATTGCTCTCAGAATGCGGACACTCCACTGTTGCATCTGCGGTTCCAGGTGAAGCAGGTGCTGTAGCAGGCCCAGGCTGGACGGTGGGCTGAAAGCTCCTTCAGGAGACCCCATAAAGGTGGGGCAGGGCAGGGCTGGGGTGGGGTGGTTGCCTGAATGCTGTAGCAAGGCTCTTGAAGTGTTGGCTTGGCGCAGAGCAGAGGGTTGCTCTTCGCTCTTTGCTTCTGGCAGTAAAACTCCTGAAAGTACCACATGGGCATTTGCTGTATGTCTCAGCACTACCTTTGACACTTAGTTTCACCTCCTGTTGTGCATGATGGCCCATCTGCACTGAAATAATGTGCCACTAGAGATAAATTTTATTGTAAGCCATCCAGAGACCAAGATTGACGGATGGGTTGGAAATATCCCAAATAAATAAATAATAAATCAGAATGTAAGCATGAGATGCAATCTACTTTGGATAGAAATGGTATGCACACAGACACAAACAGACACACACACACGCACACACAAAGAGAGAGATTGACTCAATGCAGCTTTCCATTTTTCAGTTGCAGGTGGAAGAAAATGATACATGTCCATGAGTCCCCCCATTCCCCTGCCTACCTCAGTTTGTGGCTACATTGCACTGAAATGCTGGTTCTTACCCAAAGAAGACTGCAGCAACAGAACGAACGCCATTAGTTCGGCTGGTCCCATGGCAGCAGCTCTGCCTGGTGAGAGGCTCCTCTGTGCTTTCGAAGTGGGAGATGAGTTTCAAGAGAAAGATGACCCACTTCTCTCTTCCTATTTATGCCCCAAAGTCCAGTCACAGGTGCTCCAAAGGTGCCAGATTCCCACCATTCAACACCTGGCTCAACCTGTTCCATTGATCCAAACCCAAATATGTGCTCTTTAATATTTTGAAAATAAAGATAGAATAATTTCTCCCTGTTCCAAAGATAACTCAGAATAGATAATGTGATTGTAGGGTGATTAGTTGACCAGCTCAACCAGTTACACAGAATATTAGATAACAGGAAAATAATTTTCCACTAGACATTCATTTTAATTGTGGAAGCATTTGCTGTCCATGAGAACTTAATTTCTAACCATTTCTTCAGAATTGCCTATAACTGTATTATAAGTATAATTTCTTATAATTCGTTTCTCATTTATCCTCTAAATCCTGCACTATTCAAGGTTCCCAGGTATTTTCTTATTATAGATTTGTGCTGTACAGTAAATTGTTTAGACAATTGGATCTTAATTTTCCAGTAAATTAAAACCATCCCAAAAAGTTTTTGGAAAATTACCTTTATAACTTGAAATATCATATGAAGCATGAATACAATGAAAGAAAGCAGACAAACCTACCCATCCTTGATTTAGAAAGGAAATTACCATGTTATCTGTATAAAGTAAAACCTTAGACCTTTTTTGCAGAGAGGAAAGTATAGCCTTTGAATAAGAGGCTTCCCTTCTAATAGCAGCAGCTAAAGTTTCCATAAACACACCAAATAGAGCTGAAGAGAACTGACAAACCCTGCCTTATGAATCTAATTAGAACAAAAGTAACCGATAAATATGTACTTGATGCCATTCTTATTGAACCAGCTTATGCATTGTCCAAAGGCTGCACTACTGTAAGTAGCCATTCTACTATATTAAATGCTTTTCCATGATCCCTGAATATTAATGCTTCTAGGCTCTGATCAACTTGCACTTTTCAAATTTCATTGTTTTCTGTACAGTTTATGCCAGCTTCCATTTTTTAAATAAACCCTTATTGATCCATATGTCTATAATTCTTGAATCCTTTATTGAGTAGACAAAGGAAAGCAGCAGTGAACATAAAAGGCTTACACTCAGGGGGGAGGGGGCAGCGAAGTCAGTCCTGCTTAAGGTTCTGTTCCAGGAATACCTGCAGGAGGACAGAGCAAGTGAGGAGGCGTGGTAGCAAACAGCCCACGGATTGCTGAACCATTTCTTGCTTGATGGTTTGCCAATGCAATAACCAACCCACCATTCCCAGAGTAGTTTGTCATGCCATGCAAACACACCCGATGCGTAGTTCAATCCCACTTGCCTCCACACCTCTGGAGCAGCATATGGAAAAGCACAGTTGCATCTCATTTCCACTGAAAGAAGTTGATACGCTAAAACCTGGTGCTCCCTGTCCTTAAGAGGCAACATAAAATATCACTGTGTGGTCACTTGGCCTGCTGGCTTTATTGGATGGTCCTTGAACTATGACCTTAAGTACTGTATCAACAGGCAGATCTGAAAAGGCTTCCCTTTTTAGAAGGGTCGATTGATCATCAGTTCTTTCCTTGTAGTCTGGCATCCCACAACATCTCAAAATCTTCCTATGGCTGGCTCCCACCTACTTATGAGTAAGTCATAACACTTCATGCAAGCAATTATTGGGTGCCTGGGATCCCTTACACTAGGCCTTCCTCCTTCAGAGCCTTTCCCAAGGGTTCAGGCCATTTTTTGGCTTTTTTAGCATAAGGAAGGTCTGGTATTTTCCTAGATGGTGCCACCATTTGCTGTAGGAACCTCATTAATTTTTGTCATTCCACGCTATACCGTAGTGTGACCTTACGTTGTGTAGCAGAACTTATAAGGACATACAGAAAGGCAGAGTGGAAATCCCTCAGGGAAGAACCATTATAAGAATGCTGTGCAAATCTTCAGGCTTGGAAGCCTCTGTGAATCACCAGGTAAATCACCAACTCTACTTTTTCTGGTATTTAGCAAAGAAGCTCTTCCTGGTGATGTTCTGTGTGTTCATGTAGGGGAATAAGTCCTATTGGGTTCAGTGGGGCTTACTCCCAGGTCAGTTCATCTGGGATTGCAGCCAAAGCAACAGAATCCTTTCTGGGCAAAAGGGACAGCAGCTAGAGTTGCAATGCCAAACCCACTGATGTAGGAACAGTTTACATTGACCTATTTCTAAGTAGGCATGCATAGGATTGTGTTACCTTTCTTGGTTATTGACAGGGAACAAAGTTAAACATCTTAAAAATTAATGGATGTTATGCAGAGGCCTAATAAACATACATGCCTACTGCCAAAACTGCATAACAACTGTGGTCTCATCGGAAACCCTATGAAAAGTTGCACATTCCACTGACTATGTGTGAATTAAGCAAGGTCTGTTGATACCCTTTCAGCTCAAGGGCTGAATTAAATACGGAGAATCTCTCAGTGGAGGGAAGGTGATGAATCAACCATTCTTTGCTTATCAAGCCTCT